ATCCTCCTCCCCAGGACTGCTCTCAACCCACTCACTGCCCAGCCTCTATCTGGGCTTGGGATTCCCTCGACCCAGAGGCAGGACCTTACACTTGGTCTTGTTAAACTTCCTGAGACTGGCCTGGGCCCACAAACCCCCAAACCGATTAATTTTACAATATCCATAAAGAATCATCATATGAGCTTTTTACTGAACAGTTCATGTTCAGTTTACTCAAACTGGGTTTGGTTTACCCTAAAATATAAATAAATAAACAAACCCCCCCAACATGCACTCTCATCAGAATCTGGGCTAACATTAAAGGACGCAAAGACTTTTAAATAACCCTCTAAAACAATGAGACTACACACCTTGTGTTCCACTAGAACATGACCAACACAGGCTTGGGTAGAGATGGACACCCCAAGGGAATCAAACAGCAGCTGCTGTTACGTTTAGTTGGGAAGAACTTGCCCTGAATCATGAACATCCTTACCTCAAAGAGGACGTGAACTCGGAAAACGAAGCCCAGCCAGTTTCTTTTGCCGGCATCGGCTCTTCTGTACTCCACACATCAGACCCGACAGAATCCAGGGTAGCACCGTGTGCGGTCTCCATGGGTACATCAAAGTTTGCCGACCAGTTTGGTGCTGAAAAACCACCACCGACTTCGTTAGGAACAAATTTATAGCAAGAAGATAAGCGCGCATACGCCTAAAACACTGATTTTCTACACACGTTCTAAGAAGAGCAGTGAAATTCATAACGAGACTTTAAGGCACATGCAGAAGAATCCTCTATATACTGTTAAAAATGAATGCATTCCCTAGAAGGCAGATTCTACTAATAAGGCAGAATTTTAAAACCAGTAACTCAAGAGTACTCTGCTAGAAATCAAGATAGCTTATCTGAAGAACAAAACCAGTAAACCATACTAGATGACAAGCATAATGCCACTTTATTATTTAAGCAACATTTGTTATTTTTCAAAAGTAATTTCTATAATACTGCTACTAACAAAAATTCTTTATACAAGAGTTTTCATCCCTTTTTCAGTTTCCTGCACACATTTTTGTGAACATAGAAAATGAGCATGTCACCTCAGGTATTGGCAATTGCTAAATTTCTCATGCATTAAACATCACGACTAAGTTTCAGAAAAGTTTAAGGCTTTTTACGACTTAAAAATATTTATTGGAATTTTAAATTTTGGCGCAATTGTCACTTAACAGCATCTAATTTAGGATAGGTCAATTGAAAATACTTCACCTACCCAAGGGAAACATGTTTTTCATTAACACTTACATACAAAAAAACAGGCTGAAAAGGAAGCTCTGACTAGCAATTAGAAATTCCAACCCAGGCAGATATGGGAGGAGACCCACATGGATCAAAACTTGTTTGACACACAGATGCCAACGACACCAATCTGACAAAAGAAAAGAAAACCCTTAACTTTTCCTTCTATTTTAATTTACTTCCTTACAGTCTAGATAAACACAAGGCTTTTACCTACAGATATTGCCAGTTTAACTAGAGCTAGTTTAGTCTACTGCAGCTCGAATGTGAACACTTGTAAACCAAGTATATCCGTTAAGTTTCCACATAAGAATCTACTGATGCACATCTTCTATTCACACATGAAACCAGATCAATGCAAACGCACATGGCTTCTGTTGGAAGTCTTTGAAAAGAGCATTGTTAGATGAAAAGCTGCTCTGAAAGGCTTCCATTACAATAACCCTTATTTTAGGTTTGGAGCTTAACCACCTAGTAGTTGTGTAGGCAGTCAAAACGTATAACCAACTACATTTCAACCTTTCTTTTCCCATTTCTCCTTTTTTTAACCCCCCCCTTGAAGAGCTGAAACATGAAATCTGAGAGAGACTCAGCAACTTGACTGAAGACAGGTAAGGAATTCAAACTTCCCAACATTCACATGCTCTGTTGCAAGCAGTCTTCCCAGTGGGAGAGACTACTTTATTACGACAGTTGGAATAAAAACGGTAAATGAGGAAAACTCCTACAAAGACTGCTAGATCTAACACTCTGCTGTAACTCAAAGCAGCTGGGAGAAAAGCTACGTACGTTCACTTAAGTCTACTTCCATTTTGTCCTCTGTATTTGCGTGCGATTCAAACAAATCTTGTTTCGTTCCGTCCTCTTCTTCCGAATCCGTACTTTCTTCACTGTCCGTACTGCCCGAACTTAAAACACAAAGACATAGTTTATGTTCTGTGTTTAGTATCAGACCCTGGGCACAGCATTTGCCAGTACTGGAGAGTTTGAAGCTACAGAGAATTACAACAGCTGTAATCTCTGGTAGATTAGCTGAGGTATAGTTGATTAGCTGTTAGTATTTCCATCATTTCTCTCTCAAAACTCAGGTTTTAAGGTTTTTTCATTTCATCATGGAAAGAGGCTCTTTTTTCCCCCTTCTTTGGCATCCAAAAAACCCAATTGATTTTGTCGAGAAAGTACTAACAACGTGCATTTCAAAGGTTGCAAAGCAAGACAAGGTCGGTTTTGCGACTCAAGTCAGAATAAGCTAAGAATAAGCAGCAGGAAAGGAAGAAGCTGAGAAAGCCAAAGCGTAGGAAGTGCCGAGTGGGCTCTTCCGCAGAACTATGCCATCTTCTGCAAGCTGGGGCTGAAAGACGGGCACAGGAGCCATCCTTCATTTCTCCACAGAATGGAAATAGCTACTCCTGCGGGACAGCCCGTGCTAGCTGCCAGCCTGAACCAAAAGATGTGCTTCAGCATCTGAGGGCTCACCGAACTGGTATTTGGACGAAACCTGTATTTCGTACCTGGAACGCCTCTGAGACTCCGGTGTAAAGGCAATGTGCTTTTCTTCCCAAATGTCTTCTTCATCAGAGCCACCATCATCAAACTGCTGTATCCGTTCCTTACAGCACGCCTCAAACAAGGCTATATTGCCCTGAACACAGCGGAAACATAGAAGGTGTATTTATTAATAATCAGTCAAAATTTTAAAATACACGACTATTCTGAAGAGAATCTTAACCCAGTGGGCATAAAAAAGAAGCAATTTCTCTAAAAGCAGCAGAGCGCCAGAATGACTGAGCAACTTAAAGCTTGTCAAGAAAATCTTCAGTGGTGCTTGTTTTTCCTCAGCTTCTCACAAGCTGAGCGGCGTTTGAGAACAGCTAGGAGTTTCCCTCATGTAGGAATGCCACTGAAGAGCTTTGCAGATAACCAGACTATCGAATATTCCAGCTTTATTTTTTGCAGCGGGGTTCATTTCAGCTCAACTGACAAATCACACTTAGGGTCAGAGTCGCTATCCTCACCTTCCCATCACCACAATCACCGGAAGGCAGAAATAGCTTCTACCCATAAAACACAGTGTGAAAGGTGCAAAAATCAGATCCAATCCTGATCTTGAACCTGGCCATGCAAAGTGGAACCAGTTCTGTTGAAGACTGAGCACGAAGAACAACAAGAGCGTCTTCCAATTTGAAAAATATCAAGATCCAGGAACAAGGCAGGTTAGTTATTTCCAAAAATAACACAAAGGACTAAGGGTAACAACCACTGCCAAAACTTTGAGATCACACCGAGGCTGAAAAGGCAGCAAGTTTTTCTGACAGAATAGGAGCACATACTTACACTTTCGTTCGTATTGAGAGTAAAGTTGATGTCTGAGACTCGATCAAAAGAAACACTACAAAAAAAATGCACGCAATAAAATAAGATGTTGTATTACGACACAAAGACATTTCATTTCTCTGAGGGTTCTCATTGAATAATCTAAAAATAAGGTTAAAGACAAAGTAGTTTCGAACACAAAACAGTCACATTCCACACTGTGGAGCCTGGTGTTCATCTGATTTTTCTAATCATGAAGTATTTTTAACAAAAATCCAGAGGAATGTCATCTCTACCCTAACAGGTAGCTGTGAAGATGCAACAAGCCTAAGCAAGTGTAACTGAAACGATATACACAGTTTTCAAATGTCTGGAACAAAAACGTGGGCCTGAAGATTATCTAATACCTCACTAGCGTCTGCCATGAGAGAGCTCCAAGAGCTGCAAATATCTGCCTCAGCAGCTGATACTTAATTGATTTCACCACTACAGAGGGACAGAAAAATGTAACATCAGCTTCTGTTTCCTAAAGAAGGTGTTGGTTTTAAACCAGTCACTGAAGGTTTCTTCCAAACTGAACAATAAATATTAGGCTTTACACACCTTCACCTGCTGACCTATTGAACAGTTTCACTGAAGCAATCACAAACGTGTCAGACTAGACCAACTAAATTTCTAGGGGAAGCAAAAAGAAACACAGGAGGAAGAGATGGGAAATGCTCCCCGACTTTCCAAAGAGTTCATGTATTTTTTCTCTCAGCACAGAGCAGCATATTGGGCAGAACACTCCCCAGGTAACAAGGTAAGTGATCTCAAGGAACGTGTTGTAAGTGTGACTGTCATTACTGTGCAGGTTACTGGAGTGCAGTAATTCAGACGGTAAGCAGGCAATTTAAGCTGCAACTGACTCCTGCACAAAAGGCTTCGCTTTAAATTAACTTTACCTACATCTTAATGGAACTCAGGGGTCCATCATCAGTACTCCTACCACCAATTAAGATATCTGCTTACGCTGCCACCTTCTTTCCACCAAGACCATAAGCCACCAAAGGCATTATCTTCAAGGAATTCAAACTCCTGTCCTTGCCAAAATCCACTTGCTTCTAACAAAGTTAGAGCCTCCTGAGTTGCTTCCTCTCCCGTCGCATCTTCATCTATAATCCCAGTAAATTATGTGGCAGCAATGCTGCTCACGTGGTGTGTGCAAGCTCCAGTAAACTCTCCCTTACTGAACATGTCTTACAGAAGAGCAGAGGCATTTGATTGCATTTTACCAATCTAGAAAGCATTACTCAAAGATGCTTTCTATGCTTATCCACGTACTCTTGCATCCCAAGCCATGAATCCTTGCAAAAAACTCTATTTTCAGCAAGAGCCCTCACTCTTTTCCCCTTTCCACAACGGCACCAGTTTACTTATAACTGAAGAAAGAGGTCAGATATTGTGTAAGGTGGTTTGGGGGTTTTTTTGTTTATTTGCTTGTTGTTGGTGGTGTTTTGTTTTGCTCTTTTTTTTTTAACCTGACCAAGACTGCTCTCATTTCCCCAACACTTACCCTGTTTGTAGAAACAAGTCTTAACTGCCTTGATCTTGGAAAAAAAAAAAAGTAAGTTCACAGTGCCCTTCCTTACTGTCCCCTAGAGAAAAGTACACTCACAGACACGTTCCTCTCATCTTTCTCAGGAAAAATTAAAAGTAAAGCTATTCATGTACTCTGGTAGATAGATTCAGCAGGGGGGAAAAAAAAAAAATGAAGTAATTATGTGGAGGCCCAGAGAAAGTGACCCCAGCGATGCCATGTCATTAGACAGACACGGCTTTCAAAAGCAGCGCTATAACTGAGTTATTCACAAGCACTGGGTTCTCCTGTTGGCACAACCAGGACATCAGAAATGAAAGACAGAGCTGTTGTCTTCCTCTGTGAACTGCTCAGGAGGGCTTCTATCAACGCACACAGTTGATATATAAGAAAACAGGAGTGATTGGCAAGTGCCTCACATCAGGGAAGGCTTGTAATTATCAGCAGCAAAACCACAGCCAGGTAAGAGGAACCCCCTGAGACTACAGTCAAAGCCAGCGTAACGTTATACTCACTTGCCGATGTCATCTTGATCAGCAAACTTCTCATCGTTGAAGCCAAACTGGTCAATAAAATTGGACGTCATTTGTTGCATCTGATAATCAGAAAAGGCCTGGCAACCCCAGGACCAACGACAGTGATATAATGATTCTAATAATACTCTAAATCCTATTTGCCCATTTTCCTCCAAAGAAATAAAGTCTCTCTAATCTAAAGGTAAAGGACAGGGAAAGGATTTGTCCTGATAATTGAATTTGAAATGGGAACCCTGACTCCGCACCTGCTCACGTTTCCTGACGTGAACGTCAGTCAATCAGCAGCTCTCGTTGAGAAAGTGAAACCTCTGGCTTAACCACACACTAGTGAGCACAACTGCGCCCCAGAGAAACAGCCAAGCCACACAGGAGATGAGATAAAAGAAAAAGGGGTTCCAAGGAACATGGCAAGAACCAAGGCAGCACATTATATGTTGACACAAAAGCCCGGCTGCCCATTTGTCACGAGAAACAGCAGCGTCGGGAACATGCACCAGCAGTGCCTACCCCACACCTAGGAGAAAATTAGTGAACGTTTTACACCTGAGTGCAATGCCACCAACTCCACTGTGCTCTTTAGCTGTTTCTTTTTAAAAAAAAAAAAAAAAAAGAGGAAAAAAAGATGGCAGTGTCAACTGCCAGCAGACAGGTATGCACACACTAAGGTACACACGGGCATTCTCTCCTATCCATAACCAATAGTTTTTGTCCCTTATTTCCCACGACTATAATTAAATTGTCACAGATTCTCCAGGACATCGTAACAGTGTCACTTCCATGTGTAGTCAGCTAATGCTACATACAGACAAGACCCTTGAAGAAGCTGGTGAAGCTGAACAATGTGAATATACTAAGGAAACAAGAGGATGGTCAAAAAAAAGCAAGTATGAAATCTGGAGGAATAAGAAAGAAAACAGAGAAGGATGAGCAGGGCTGGGAGTGGGTGCAAAAAACACTCTCATGACAGGAAGGGTCACTACGCTCAGCCACGCCAAAGCAAGAACTCTTCTACATTTTCATCTTAAAACTTTTAAAAATCTGATAGTTAGCTCTGAAGAACTTCAGACTGACACAAACACAATTCAAGTATTTCCATTACACGGGTAGACAATCAATTACTGACCACTCACCCTATAATATGACCCTGTTTTACACTCACCACTAAGCTCACCTTTCCAATCAAGTATTTTTATTCTCATGGAAATTAAAAAGCTCCTTTGATTGGACTGCCTTAGCAAATTACCTCCACAGGAAGAAAAACCCAAAAGGTTGAACAGGCTTGTTCTGTTTTACAAAAGGTGCAGTCCTCAGCAGAATGAACAGGAAATTGGTTACGAGGTTTATGCCACCAGCTAGTTATGAAACCAGTGTGAAATCTTAGCACTGGATCAAAATCGTCTACAACAAGTATACAAAATGCAGTTCTAAACAGGTAGCGTAACTCAGACTGAGTTCTGTAACATATTTTCAGTGGCCTTAAAAAACAGAAGCAAGAAGTGGTGCTAAGCTGGCGGGGAACGGACCGAGGCTTTGCTCATGCAGAAGTTTCCCGACAGGCACATCCAGCGCTGGCACCACAACAGCCCAGAAGCAGGGGACAGAACGCTTTTTCAGAGACATCAAGTTTCAAACCACTGTTCAGAAACTTAAACAAAAAGTGGTTCTAAGAAAGAAGTGGAAGAAAACAACTAAAACTTTCTCCTTCTGGAACAAAGGTTCTTCATTAGAAGAAATCAGTATCAAACCGATATGCCCGAAGTCACAGCCAATGGAAATCTGCACAGCCAGAAGTTAAATCTGACAAAACCAGACCAGAGGTAAGTTCCTTAGCACTTTCCTCCCTTATCCAATTCCTAACAGACCCACATGAATTTTGGAAATTTTCCTTCTGTTTTCTCCTTTAACTCTTGATCTAGGATAGAGAATTCTAGCTTAAGCCAGAGGCACCTTCATGAACGAGTTTGTGCAGCTGGAGAACGCTTTAAGCAATTTCAATGTGTTTCCCGTCAGTGATTTATCTCGTCTAGTACCATGTTTTCCTCACCAGACCACTTTCGAAGGTGTATTTCATTAGCTTAGCTTAAAAAGAAATAAATAAAAATTGAAAGGTGATAAATTTGAGGGGAGGAAAAAACACAATAAAAAAACCCCAACCAGGCAGCGGACCATCTGCATTTCTTCAGATGCACTACCTGGAAGCGCTGGGACTGTGGGGCACAGGGGTCCCTACAGGGATTCAGGGAAAGCCCAGCTATTTGAAGATTTCACTTTCTCACCAGAGCCGCTGCAGATAGCACTCAACAAGTTTGGATTCAGGTGCGCCTACGCAGCTAATAATGCATCTGGTTCTTAAAACTTGAGCCACCACCCACAAGTTAAACTTCACAAGCAATTACTTACTATAAAAACTATAGAAGATGTATAAAGTACCGAACCCAGGCTTAGAGTAGGTAGCTAGCGTGAGGTGAAAGATTTGGGTTCGTAACCCAGGTAAGCAATGCGCTCTGCAAAAAGGATCTTGTGCCGCACGGCTCCCACTCTTTCACTGCCAGCGGTACTGCAAACAGCACAGCACTGGTACAGAAACGGCACCACTCTTCATTGAAACAGCACCAATATCCTCCAAAATCCCTCACCGCAGAAATAAGCACATATCGTAACCACAGTAAAGGCTGCATCGCTGTCGGTCAGCTAGGAACGCAGGACAGCTACAAGGTGGATGCAGCTTTGGCTTAAAGCTTTCAGGCTGGTGGATCTGACAGTTCCCCAGGTGGTCTCAAGTGGTTTTGGTGTGCGGTTCTTTTTCATTAAACCAAATGATAAATAATTATCTTTGAAACACTAATAAATGAGTTGCCAAAAGCACATACTGAATTTAAAAATAAGTCAATTGGAAATTTATTCCGGGAAGACATCGTACACATAGAATGTCAGGGGTTGGAAGGGACCTCCAGAGATTATCTAGTCCAACCCCCCTGCCAGAGCAGGGCCACCCAGAGTTAAAAACACGCGAGCTGCTAGATCCAGCCTGTCGAAGGAGCATATGTAGATCTTCATTTAAATCTTTGACAGCTGCTAGTTTGACATTTTGCCCAAAACTAAAAGCATGTAACAACAACCAACCAATCCTTCTTGTTTCCTCAGGAAACTAAGGGTCAAAAAAACCCAAACTACTCGCAAACCCAGACAGAAACATGTATTTGCTGTTGCAGCAATTCACACTTGCCAGAAAACACATTTAGAAGCCACCATTTCAAACTTGGACATCCAGAAAAAAACCCACAGTTAACATAGAAACTGTGTTCTGCTTAGCCAGGCAGCTCTCATATAAAATGTGTTCTGAGGCATAATGAGTAGAGATCTGCGTCCACAGCACGATCAAAGCCTAAGAAAGGGAAGGCACACCAGGATATCACGACACGTGTTAAAAAACATACCTCTGGGTTTGATAAAACACAGTCATGTGCAGCCACACACACGTAAGTCTGTTTTTAGACTTTTTAGGTTTGTATTTGCTTGAGAAACACGAAGTTCCACTGCTTTTTCAAAATTTGTTGTTTGTTATTACAGAAAGAGCATCTTGTGCTGTTAAAAGGATTGAACTCACCTGCTGCAAAGAAGAATCCTGTGAGAAGCCGGTTTCTTTAAAGTCAATTTCATCATCACTGGAAGAATGAATGTGGCAGGTAGTGACCTGCAAAAAAAGAATTTAGTTATTGGCACGGAATATGCCAGCGCCTCAAGGACCCTCATACTGTCTGGCTGAATCTTTACTTCTGTATCAAAACAAGAAACTTAATTTTTGTTTTCCCAACTGTTACACCACAAAAGACAGTCTCCAAAATATTCCAATAGTGTTAACACATACACGAGTATTAGACACCTCAAAAAGCCCAAGTGTTTGACTACTCCAGAATGTCAGCTGCAGGACTGGGGTGGGGTTTTTTGTTATGTTAAATAGTCAGTTATCTAAAATAAAATGAGACAAAGCTTGCACCTTGTCTTTGTACTGCGTGAAGAACAGCAAGTGAATTAACAGTCACCAAAATACTAGGTTATATACAGAGAGCCTCCACCTCTCCTATAATATAAGATAGGGAAAAATTAAAGGGAAACTGTGTTTGGTATCTATGGTATTTACAGAAAGACAAAAGAACTAAGACTTCAAAAGTTTCCAACCAACGTGAACTTGCTGGAACAAACAGGGAGCAGCTGCTACAGCAACTGCTGTTCTAAACATGACCCTTGATTTAGTCATGATCTGACATACGGCTGGTGGGAATCGTTAGTTCAGTGACACTGATAGCTAAGCAACACTTAATTAAAAAAATAATTGGGAGTGCTCTATTCTTGCCCATCCACCATTCAGCCCTGCACTGCAATTTGCATTCCAGAAGTACCCTGACCTCAAGGCAGCGAATTTCTGAAGGAAACCTGACCTATCAACACTAACATATCGGCAAGTGGGAAGAACGGTAACCTCTGGGCTTGTCACGGCTAGAGCAGAACTGTTCCATCAAATGACAGACTAAGTCCACGGAAAGTTAGCGCTCACTGTATGCTCAGGAAAAGATTCTTAAAAAGCCTGCACGCTTCGAGGCAACGACACGGCCTTCCACGCGACAGCCTGAGCTGCCCAAGATGCCGCCCTCTTCCTTCTGAGAGGACATGAGTTAATACACCTACTCCTTCCAAAACCACAACTTGCTGGGGGAGAACAAATGTAAACCCAGTAAGAAGTTGATTATTTAGTTTCAGTTGTTACTAATGAACGCATTAATCCTCAGCAGGAAGCTGTAAGAGCAGGAAGCTCCAGGCTCGAAGCAAGACGGTGTCTTGTCCCCCAAACTCTCCCTTTGGGAGCCAACAGGACAGAAAGCCCAAGATACACCAGTTACTTCTTGTTTCCTGACAGATGCTGTAGTTGAAGCACAAGCCTTAAAGAAAGAACTAGCATTGCTCTGCCCTAATGAATAAACGGCAGACTCACACCAGGGGAGGGACTGGGAATGACCACTGCAAACTCCAGTAACTAATTCCTTGCTTAAAGCTCCGCACCATTCACACCAGGCACCTTCTAACACTAACACACAGTAACTTCTTGCAAATAATTTCTTCTGATGTATGGCATTTTTCCCCTTGCCTCTTGAGAATATTAAGAAGGATTTTCCTTAAGGAAATAGTAATTTTTAAGGCAATTATGAACAATCTACCCTGGAGACTGTAATTTTTAGGCTTAGGAGAGGTATATTCTCCTTGCGCAGTCTTTGAGCGCACCTCACAAACATTCAATATCACGACTGATGTTGGAAGGAAGCCCTAAGCGACACAGTTGAAGTTACACAGGTCTCTTGTACAAGCCTACCATTACAAATTGTATAGCATTCTTCACTGTACCAGCATCCATAATGCACCTGGTCTATAAAGAAAACAATTACTCCACATTCATTTCACCTTCAGCTAGGTAAGTGTAGGTAGGTAAGTTTAGTGAAGTAGTGCCTACTTCTAGCAGAATGACAATAAGCAGTGGAAAAAGAGAAATAAACTTTCTGTAAAATGCTCTGCGGAAACCCTGAGACAGCTCTGCTACGCATACACTTCTAAGTCTGCAGTTATTGTTGTTTTAGAAAATGTAACAAGAACTTGCTTGAAAAGACAGAAACATCTAAGGAGGAGGAAGAGGATAAAAGGAAGAAAGCGTTGATACATTTACAACATCCCTGATGTAAAACAACTGGAAAAGGACAGTCTCACGGCTGCAGCAGCAGCTCATTATGTGTGGGAGCCCAGAGCCACAGACCTTGTTCCATCAGGGTACGAGAGCTCCCTTTGCCGAGAACCAAAGGACTGAAGCACTGGAAGTACTCACAAGAACAGTTATTCCCACGGACACAATTTACTGACATCCTTTTGAAGTGAACGTCATATCCTAAAACTATGCACATCACCTGAGCTCAGTGAGCCGACCGAAGATCAAATATAAAAGGGAACAGCACAGTTCTGTCAGTCAGGTGGGGAACTGTGTGCTTAACTATTACATCAGCGTGACTAGCTGCCACTCAATAGCTTGCTTACGGTAAAAAAAACCAACCAAAAAACCCAACCCTTGAGCCTAGTAAGGAAGTCTGCTCATCTACCTGGCAATAAATACAAGGCTAATCCATAGAAAATTAGGAAAGGTGTGCTTAAGATCCTGCTCTGAGGGCGCTGAATAATCTGCATTTTAAATCCTGTATATAGTTTTCCAGGTATACGCATTAGTTCTGATAATCCCAGGATACTTTCATGAACTTACAGAAGAGCTCGAGCACTCACACAAACCAAATTGTCCAAGTTTACAGATGGAGAGAATGGGTCTATGGAGACCAAAGAACAGACAAAAGCAGCGATATCAGGGGGCCAGTACGACTGGAAAGAACTACTGCGGTGCTGTGCTTTCAGGAGACACCCACAAAATAACCACAAGTTAAACCTGACTCAGTAAAACAAACTGAGTTTTCTACGAGATCTGTCTTTCAGTATCTCCTACAGCTGTCCATTACTGCTGATCTTTGAGCTAAACGCTAATCCAAGGCTCAGGAGAATTGACCACGCAAGCAGAAACAAAGCCTGTAACTTCAGAAATTCCAAGAGGGTGGTATTTTCCAGGCAGCACCTTAGTTAAAAGAATTTGTTTAAATGCTTCATGTTTCTACTCAACTAAAAATTTCCTTCAGAGGAAGTTTTACCGTCACTACATCAAGTATGTCCAAGTAAATGATTATCTACAGAACTAATTACAGTGTTATTAACTATAAATCAGCTTAAAGTTCTGCTTCTTTAGATGACTCTTCTCTTCACCTTCACCCCGCAGTTTATAGCGAGGAAAACAGCCGTATTCTAGAAGCACTACGAACTTCTCTGCGTTCACAGGCTCACGCGCCATCTGTGCATCATTTGTTGTAGTTTCAGCTGACCTTCCTATTGCTTCTGTTGCCACACACGTCATGTTAGCATTATGTTTCAGCTGCTATATTATGTTGAAATAGCAAATTTAACACTTAGAGCCCAATTACTATAGCACAAGGATAAGCTAATAAAGCAAATCACTGCATTCCCGGAGAAGCCAGGTACCTTAAAATTCTTTAATTGGTCTGTTGATATGGGAAACAGCCTCTGCTTAGTGAAGTCTTCAAGTAATTACTCTTAAACTGCTTAATATGATTACACAAAACGTCTTCATACCCCTACTTAAGTTTAGCTTTTCTCTGAAAGTGTAATCACTACTGCTATGTGCAGAAAAATATGAAAAGTGCACAATAGAAGTATGCAAAGTTGCTGAAACGAGGTCAGTAACACGTGCAGTGGGATTCCCACACAAAATATTAACTATACGGCTTTAGCTGAAAAGTAAACTGAAGAATTATCAGTTCCAGAGCTCAGCAACCAGATGTACTTGTTGACACAAGTACATGGTAGCTGGGAAGTCTGCTTGTGCTACTGACAAAAAGAAAGCGGGACCCAAGCACACAGTAGCAATTCTGATACCTTACCCAGCACTACTTACCAGGTCCACCGTATTCCTCTTGTTCGTTTCTCCTAAAGAGTTTGTGCAGAATGTCTCCCATCGTTCTCTGACCTCCTCTGGAAGCTCTAGCATAGGAAACAGAAAAAAAACCACCTCGGTTTGATACTATTGACAAGGGAGCATGTTAATTTTTAATTGCTCTTTTCTGCTCTGCCATCCTCCTAAATCCATAGAGACTACTCCATCTAGCAAACAAGTCCAAATCAAGCAGGTCAGCATCTCTTTGCAATTATTTCAGGGAGCCTTGATACTGTTCGAAAAACAAAACAAAAACAACCACCACCAACAACAAAAAAAAACAACCAAAAGGAAGGATGGCTTTAAATGGAATGCATTGGGAATTTCTTCTTTTATCCAACAGCTGCCTCTCAATTTAAGTTTGATTCACTTCCTCAACTTTGACAAGGAAAGCCGTTAAGACAAACTTAGGGCTATTAACATTACCTTTAATGAGCTGTTGAACTAGAGTACTGTTTGGCCCCTTATCTGTACTATGCACAATGCAGTTTGCTATCCTCGTGAGGTGACCCATGTAGCCATGCCGTCGTCCTCCTTCAGCCCTGCAAGAGACACAAGGAATTCAAATGCCCATGCCCAGAGCAACTGTGCTGCTACACTTTGTTATAAAACACTCTACCAGAGTCAAGAAGTTACCCAAGGCAAGTAGTGCAGGGATTAAGCACAAGAGTCGCATTCTAAAACCAAAAGGTTCACAAAAGTACTCAAGAACTGAAGATATGTCCTGGTCTGACTACACTGAGTCAGTTGAGAAGGCTTAATAAGCACGCAAACTACTTAGAAGGAAGTGTAGAGTATCCGAACAGATTATTTCTGCTTTCATGTTTGTGTGTGTAGAAAGAGAAATGTCATTGAAATAATGAGAAGATTAAAAACACATCCAGACTTTAGGAAATTTCTGTTGCTGGGAGTATTTTTTGAAAGCCCAAGTACATTGAACATTCTCTCAGACCTTTGAGTCCGCAATCAAAAAAGAATTCGTAACTCCCAGCTGTGCTCTAGTATCACAGGCTGCAATGTTTAGCCTACAGAGCTGGAACAGTATGACTGACGGATATTTAGGTTAGGATCATTGCTTTCCTGAAGTTTAGGAATCATATTTAAGTGCACAGCAAAGGTACAATTACAAGGCAGTTTGAATACTCGTTATGTGACAGAACTGCTTTGGAGAGACAGGAATTACCAGTTTCTAGAGTAGTGCTTTGAGTAGCGGCAATCAGCTGGAATTGTTTGAGACCCAACCGGAGACCTGAAGCGTGAGCTCTGATTTGGACTGAATTTCCAGCGTTCAGTTGCAAGCTAACCAGACATTTGCCGCTTCATCTTTTTAGGGTTTCGTGCTTTTTAAATGAAAATAATCAAAGCTGTCCCACTCAACTGGCTAGACAAACCTCCTGTGAACCTGACTGAAACCTCTGTAAAGCGACAGCAGCTCGGGAAGTAGCTTTTGTCACACAAACACAAATCAGGTTACTTGGTTTTCCACCATCATTGCCCAGGTAAGCGACATGACGTCGTATCAAGGCCACGTGCCGATGGGAATGGCATTGCACTGCTTACAGGAACAGCTCCAGAGAGCCTGATCTTATTTCCTCCACTGCTTACGTAACACGTACATTCAAAACAAGCAACACCCAATGATGGCAAAAGGTTGTCTGTGACAAAGCGCACCACCTTGTCACTGCCTACCCAACGAGCCTCAGACACGATTGTATCTGCTCTTAGCAAACACTTATCGATCCAGCGAAGCAAACAGCTTTTTGCTGTCAAATATTCACCAGCAGAAAGCAGTCACGCTCAAGCTTCCAGAGCTGCCCAATACAATGCCAAGTGACAGACAAAATAACTATTTCCTGAAGCAGTTAAGCTAAAAATATCTTTATGTTATCTTAAAAACTTTTCTTTGATAGATTCATACCTGTACCAAATTGGATAAAGGAGTTAATTACTTAATCTGCTTGTTTCTGACAAATAAAAATCAATTCTTTCCAGATAAAAGCACAATCTGAAGCTTACAACTATTTTCTGCATTAGCCAATACTAAACTAAATATTTAAGTCATCCATACGGTGAACACTGGATCAAGAACTTTCTCAGCCAATCGAAGAATAGTTTTAGGTTGAATCTATGCCAATAGCTTTCCATACTTCTCTCCTACGAGAGTCTAACTGGTGACCAAGTCGGCAGTTTTCTGTGACACCAGGATGTTCTGTAACACCAGGAGAATACGACACAGTTCAATCAAGTCCCATTCCCGTTCCCTGTACTACTGTCTTAATCTATTTCAACATCCTTATTTTCAGGCCAGTTACATTTGCCATGTGTTTACTACCCGATTCCCATCAAAGAGGAAGAGGACTACTCGGGGGAGTAGAACTGTCTCAAACAATGCATCAGTGAAGCAGCGGCACTACTGCAGCCAGCTCGTTCAGTATTTTGACAAGTTAGTGCTAACGTTTACTGTCCAGCATCTCCCAAGTCAAACTCGTGAGCCTTCAGAGAGCTTTTTTACCTCCTTGGGTGAACACCTATGACCCCAGTTTTAGACAATGTGAGCTACTTGAAACTTCCATCCTTTCACAAAGTCCTACTTTCAGAAGGTATTCCCTTGCTGAGGATTTAGCTTTTAACAGTGAGGAGCCTGTTGCTCCTGAATACGTAATAGGCTTGGACACGTTTATAAAGAATTTTCAGTTGCTTACTGGAGAAAAGTATTCCCTGTCCTCTCAAAATTTACGGTAATGTTCTTTACTTGAAGATGGGTAGACTTTAAAGAACATGGTAATATCTTACACACAGCAAGAATGATAAACTACTGTATCCTCAAAATGAAAAAGAAATAGAATGCAAAAAAAAGCATGAGAGAAAGCTTTAATCCAAATATTAACACACAATTGTTTTTAAAACTGGTCAGATCAGTTATGAATTGGTCACACACTCATTTCATGATTCAAGTCTCACACAGACAATGGCAGGGAATGAGAAAATTAGTTACTCACTGTTTCTTCTCATTCATCTCCCAGGCTTCAAGTATTCGTTCTATTAATTGGCACTTAAGGAAGAGCTATCAGAAAAGTAACACATGCTTAGTAGTAGTGAAATGGAACACTATTATGCGTTGTACAGTCGATTTCAACAAATACTGAAGTCTTACAAGACAACTAATTTCAGGCTCAGGATAAACACTTTCATTAAAGGGCTTAAAGTTAAAAGCAGCAGTCAGATCCCAGTCAGAAACCTACATTAATTCTAATTCTCTTTAGAGCAGCTGAGTTGCAGTAGCATGAAGTTATGAAATATCAATTTTAATTCTTAAAAAAAAAAAAAAAAGAGGAACACGTCGGCACACACGTTCACTTCGGGGAAGCAAAAATCTCTATAGCACATTCAGTTTTAACAGCCTGAACTGGTATTCTAAGAAAAACACCTAAGTATTCCTGTTCATTCTATACAGGAAGTAAAATTGGGATATATTTGATGTAAGAGTAACTGCTGCAATAGCCTGGAGACAGGAAAATTCAAGATATTCCAAAAAATCCCACAACTTACATGTTTCAGTAAGAGATTGTCCCCAGTGGAATCTTGATCTGTAATTGTGCCATTTTCTGTGCTTTCAAGAGGACTTGCAAGAATCAATGCAATACAGATTTCTACTTGAGTATGCAAGAAGTTATTCCATGTATACTTAAAGAACATGTCCTGAAAAACAAAGTCAGCAAGGTTTATACAAACCCAGGTCTTCTCATTAAACACAATCAATAACCTCATTTCACCAGGTCATCCGAATGATTACAACTGGACCAAATTCTTTAGGTTCTACAGGAAGTATTACTGTGACCTATGAGAAAGTTAATTGTTGTGCTTACTATCATCTGAACCGAAGGACTATCGTACTGGACCAGAACAAACACTCCCCACTTGCATTCTTCTGAACAGCCGCAGCCCAGAGACTGATGCATTACTTGGCACCTCAGCAGCCCTTGACAGATTTCTCTTTGAGTTCACCAAACCTTCCAGCACCTCCAAAACCATCAGTAACCTGCTCCTCACTTCAGCGGGATCCCTTGTACAATCATATGGACCAGTTTTGAACCTGTCATTGACTAGTTTTATTCTTCTCTTACAGAAGGCTACCTCAGATAACCCAGATGCAGCTTATTAAACACCTTGCACAAGACAGACAGATGCTGAGGCTGAGATACAAGTGTTCTAGAGTTGATGTGAGTTCTAGTGTCTAGAGTTGATGGAGCTCATTGAAGGAGCTTTAAACTAGATATGAAGGGGGAAGGGGATAAAAACAAATCTACCAAAAAGACTAATCTGAAGATGGTCCTTGGAATGGCATGGCAATGCCAGGGGTGAAACCAGTGGCCCTGCTGCAGTGCAACTGTACTTCAACAGAGGCTCCAGGTAATCCACCAGGGGCCCAACTCAAATGCCTTTATCTGAACGCCCGCAGCATGGGCAATAAACAAGAGGAACTGGAGATGCTCGTGTGCCTGCAGCACTACGATCTGACTGGCATCACGGAGACATGGTGGAATGACTCCTGTGACTGGTGTGTTGTCTTAGAAGGGTATAAACTCTTCAGGAAGGACAGGCAGGGCAGACGAGGAGGGGGTGTTGCCCTCTATGTCAACGAGCAATTAGAATGCGTGGAGCTCCATCTTGCGAGTGATGCTGAAAAGATCGAGTGCCTGTGGGCCAAGGTAAAGGGAAGGGGAGGTGACGTTACAGTGGGGGTCTGCTACAGACCACCGGACCAGGATGACCAAATGGACAAGGTCCCTCATAGACAGATAGGAGTTGCGGCCCATTCA